ATCCGCTTGCCTTGGCCTCCCAAAGTACTGGGATTATAGGCGTGAGCCACCGCACCCAACAGGCCAGGGTTTTAAGGGGACCACCTGCTGGATTCGGCTGCCCAGCTGGAGCCTGGCCAGTCAGATAAACAGAAGCAGGCCCTATCTGGGCACCAGCAGATCTGGGAGCTCAGTGTCCCCTACTCCAGCTTCTGTAGGGCCAGCCCAGGCCTTGTGATACTCTCCCGGGTGGATGCTCTCCTCAGGAAGCTTGGCTGTGACAAGATCTTCTGGTTACAAACCACATTCCCAAACTAGCCCCTGTGGGGCTTCCCCAGACTGTGCCCCTCCCCTTCCCCTTGGCCAGGCCCATGGCTCTCCCTCCCTCCACCAAAGCCCTCCACGCTCTGCTTCTGCCTGCCTTGCCATCACTCTCCTCTCCGGCCCATTCTCCATGCAGCAACCTGATGTGGTTTGGACGTTCGTCACCTCCAAATCTCAGGTTGAAATGCAACCCCCAATGTTGGAGGTGGGGCCTTGGTGGGAGGTGTTTGGGTCATGGGGTTGGATCCCTCATGAATGTCTTGGTGCTGCCCTCACCTCCGGAAGGAGCTGAATTCTCACTGTGAGTTCACCTCCTCTGCCTCTCTCTTGCTCCCCCTTTGCCTTCTGCCATAAGTGGAAGCTTCCTGAGGCCCCACCAGTAACAGATGCCGGCGCTGCTGAGCCAAAACAAACCCGCTGTCTTTGTAAATGACCCAGCCTCAAGTATTTCTTCACAGCAACTCGCCAACGGCTCGGCATGCGGCCCAAGCAGCATATGGCAGAATCCTACACCGGACTTTGCCCCTCTCCTGCTCATGACCCTCCACGGTTCCCCGCTGCCCTCAGGGTCAGTCCTGGCCCGGGCCACAAGGAAGGTCTGAGGTGGTCACTGCCTGTGCTCTGGCCTCACCATCCTACCACCGTGCACGCTGCAGTGGCTCCAGTCATTCTGACCTACTTAAGGCTTCCCGGATTGTCCAGCTGGCTGGAGGCTCAGGCTTTGCTCGTGTGAGTCACTCTCAGGTGTGGCCACCCCACCCCTTCTTACCTGACCCGGCGTTGGTGACAGGTCTCTCCCCACCCATGAGGCCTCTCGCAAGACTGGGAGTGCCTCAGGGTGGGGCCCCTGAAGTAGGTTAGCAGGGAACCCAAAGTGCAGTGTGGTGGGCAGAAGCTGCCCTCCCACCGAGCGGCCTCCTGGCCCTAGGGGGACATGGGGTGCAAGATAGGCTCCCTTCCAGTGTCAGCCTCACAGCACCAGCCACCCCACCTCTGCTCCATGCACCCTCAGAGCCCTCAGCATGTATATGTGCATGCCCGTATGTGGGGGCACCTCCCTTTTCCCCAGCACCCTGTTTCTTAACACTTCACCCTGTTACCACTTCACAGAGCAGGGACAGACACTCCAGGTCCCACGGCGGGTGAGCACTGCAGCTGAGCTTTGTGCCCAGGCAGGTGGCCGGCTCTGTGGGCTTAAGTCCCTACTCATGGCTTCTTTGGGCCTCTGGGATGACAATGCAGCCCACAGCCGCACTCAGCCCACAGCCGCAACCCATCAGCCCTCACACCAACCCAAGAGCTTGACATCTCCCCACCCAGCCACCCGCGGACCTCACCACGGGAAGAGGCCATAGGGAGGCAGCCCTGGAGGTCTTGTGCTGGCCCCTGGCATGGCTCACCGCCTGGCCCTGCTCAGCAGTGGGTCAAGGGAGTCCAGCCCCTAGTATCTGGCCAGTGAGTCAGAGGTTGAGTAGTTGGCAATGTTTATTGGGAAACAGCAAACTCTGCTGGGCATACAGGCTGGCTGGGAGAGCACGGCCCTGGAAGCGGGGACTGGAGAGGAATCCAGGGCTCTGTGGCTGGTCAGGCAGCCAGGGAAGGCCTGGCAGGTGCATGGACCTGAGGCTGCCCAGATATGAGGAGCCGGGGGTGGTGGAGGCCGGCTGAACGGTGGAGACTGGCGCTGCCTGTGGCACAGGAGGTGGCCCTGGTGCTCAGGACTCCAGGCTGGGGTCATCGGGCGGCAAGTACATGGGCTCGATGTGGGCCCACCCGCGGGCCTGCTCATCTGCCCAGGCGAGCAGCTCTGCCGCGCGGTGCAGGAAGATCAGGAGCAGAGTGTGCACATCGCCCTCCGCTGAGTGGGCCGCGCTTGGCTCTACCTGGAAGTAGCGGTGGAAGAGGCTGCCAAGGCTGTAACCCTGGCGGCCTCGGGCCCGGGTGCCGTGGCTGTGGGCGCGGTCCAGGCCCCGCAGGGCTGGCAGTGTGTCCAGGCAGACAGTGTCCCGAGGTAGGCGGGCACCCAGGCGCCGCAGCTCGGCACACAGCAGGGGGAAATCATAATCAAAGCCATTGTGGGCCACAAGGCAGACAGGCCCTGCCTGGCGGCTCAGGAACGCCTGTAGCATCCGCACCACAGCACCATCAAAGCCAGCCTTCCGGCACTGCGCCAGGCCCTCGCTGCTCAGGCCAGTGATCCCGCTGGCCTTGGCGGTGAAGGGGCGCTTTGGGCACATGCACAACGTGAGCTTGTCCAGGACCCGGGGCAGTACTGGGGCACCAGATTCGTCGCGCTCCAGGTTCTCCAGGGAGGAGCGGTGGACAGCAAAGAGGGACAGTTCAGCAATCTCAGGATCCATGCTGGGGAGCCCAGTAGCTTCCAGGTCCAGGAAGACAAAGGTCTCAGCCCGGGGTGTCTCTGACATGGTTATGTTCCCACGGGGATAGCCAGGCCTCAAACTGCCAGAGCGAGAGGCACAAACTCTGAGGACTGGAGAGAGGGGTTCGCCCAGGCCCTGCTGTGTACCACCCTCCCCCTAGCCAAAGCTCTGACCCTTCTGGGGCTCACTTCCTGCCACCCCCAACCACAGCGCCTGTGACCTTTGGCTCTGGGAGCATCAGCCCCACTCCTGCCACCTACCGAACAGAAAAGGCAGGCCTCCGAGCGCTCTACTGCCTGCCTCCAGCCACAGTCCCCAGCAGGGATTGGGAGAGGCAGAGGCAGCTCAGGGACCACGCCTCGGCGGGGTCCAGCCCCTTCACCAGAATGCCTTGGCTGGGAACCTGAGGCATAGTACGCTGGGTCTCAAGCCCTGGAACCAGCTGCGGGGAAGCAGGCAAGCAGCCACCCAAAAGAGCCCATGCAGTGCGCTCAGCTCCCCCTGGGCTCGACCTCCCCAGCCTTGTCCCTGGCACACAGGTGCTGGCCCCGAGCTGGCCTCTGCCTGCTTGCCCCCAGGTTCCTGGGGTGACTATCCTTGCCAACCCCACCGCACCAGCTTACCTGGGGCGGGCACTGACCGGCTTCCTGGGCTTCTGGGCACCTGTCGCCACATAGGCTGCTCCAGGCGGCCTTTAATCAGCGGCCACGGCCCGCCCCCAGCTGCCTGTTGGCCAACAATGAGGCCTGGGGCCGCAGGACCTGCGAAGCCGGCTGGCTCTCCGCCCCCTCGCTAGCTCACAGCCACTGGGACACACGCCCTGTGTTTACAGATTAGGAAGCAGGCCCCGGGACGCACGCAGACTCCAGGAGCTCTTCACAGGCACAGGGAGGAAGCCAGAGCGGTGCAGAAGGCAGTAACCTCCACCCAGCCAGGCTGTGGCTGCCAGGCCTGACAGGCCTGGGACCAATGCCTCCCCCATGCTGGGGCCAGTCACACAAAGGCAGCAGGTCCTCTCTGCCAGACCTCAGTCTCCCCTGTCACTGGAGATCAGGTGCTGCTCATGGGGATGAAGCAAGCTCTGGAGTGTGAACAAGGTGCCCACACATGCCGTGCTCAGCCTCCAAAGGGGAATGGGGTGCTCCCCCAAAACCTAGGGATGGGGCAGCCTCGGGGCTGCCCACGCACCGCCCACCCCGGCTCACACAGCTTGCCGGCTCACTTCCCACTGCGAAGGGGAGATGCTGCTTTAAGGAAGTTGCTTCATCATGTCTACCGTGCACCTAACAGCGGCTGCTGGGGAAGGGAGATGAGCCTGGCCTGGGAGCTGTGCAGCTGAGTTAATGCTTCCCCCACCAGAGACAAGCAATGCTAGGGGATGGGCCGGGAGCACCGGGACTACAGGAGGAGTGAAGCTCAGTCCCGCAGACCCCAGTCTCGGGGACCCACCCTGCCCACCCCACTCCAGGCAAAAGGCACCAGGTCCTTCCCGGTCCTGGGAGGAGTGGTGCCCTGAAGACCTCATTCTGGAGCAAACCCTCGGTGGTGGGTGCACTGCAGGGCCAGGCCCATGCTGGGGGCACAGAGAGGTGACCAAGAGGAGTCCCTTGGCCTGTAAATCAGGTGGTGCACCTGGACTGTGGTGACCACAGGCCTGCCTGGCCTCCCACCTCTCACAGCGGTGGCTGGGGGATGCCTCAGGCGACTGGGATGGAGGGGTCTGGCACCTGGCTCCTTCTGGCCTCCTTGCCTTGTGTGCCCACGGGGACCTTGGGAAAGCAAAGGAGATGGTACCAGGAGGAAGCAGGGTGGGGCGGGCAGCAGCAGGTGCAACAATGGCCCCAAAGAGGCAGAGGCCCCACTAGTTGTGCCTGTTCTAGTGCTCACAGGGAGGGAGGCAGCTGTGACAGGCACACTGCTCAGGGAGATAATGGGTCACCCTGGGAAACCCAGACAGCATCTTCCTGGACAACCAGTCAGGCTGAATTCCCCAGCCCAGAGCTGAGTGCCCAGCCAGGGAGGAGCAGGAAACAGGTACCCCGCGTGGGATCCAGGAGCACTCGAGGAGGGCGGCTGAGGGGTACGTCTCACACAGGATCCTGAGGCCAGCCAGGGGAGGCGGCAGTCGGGTCTCTGCAAGTGGCTGGCAACAGCAGGAAGGAGTGAAGCCACAGGAAGAGGACACAGCCCAGGCCCGCCAAGATGACAGGAAGGCCTTGGCCAGCCTGCCCAGACCTGGGCCACCTGAGCAGCTCAGGATGGGGGAGAAGGAGAGAGACGCGGAGCTGCAGAAGCAGAAAGCAGGCTGGAGGAGACTGCTTAAAAACCGAGGCTTTCTTTGTGTCCAAATCAAACCACCCATCTTGTCTCTCTGTCCCCAAAGGGGCCAAAGGTCCCTGCCTAGAGCACAACGTGGGGCTGCAACGGCTTCTGCTGCCACAATCATCCATCCTCGGCCAACTCGATCTTGGGAAAGGGCTTCCTGCCCCCACTATCCTGTGCTTTTGCGTGGCCATCACTGAAGACTTTGTATTTCTCCATTAGTTCATTCATCTTGGTAGCTGCAGAGGAAAGAAACCAACAGGAAAGTGAGCCTGGCGCAAGAGGTGAGGTGCCTCCTGCCCGCCGCCCAAGGCACATGTCCTCAGCTGATCCTCCTTGAGCCCCAGCTACCACCAGCACGGCAGGGAAGGGACAGGCACTGCCGAACTGGGAGCTGCTCAAGCTCTGTGGGGGCCAGGCCAGCAGCTTGGGAGCCCTGGACTGGGCCACACCAACCGCAGCACAGTTCCAAGACCCAGGCCAGGGTCTGCTGACCCAGCTGTGCCCCCGCCCACCTGCCCCCTGCCCCCAGAGTCCCAGGGGCAGCATATGGCACACAGTGAGGAGGCAGAGACTGTCCTGACTTCAGTGGCACATTCAGTATTAACCAGATGCATAACTGCACACACAACAAACCCAATCACAGACAGCCCTAAGGCCTTGGCTGCCCAGCCGGGTGGCGGGCGTGGTGACTGCACCGCACCTTATCTGCCGTAACCACATCTGCCTCTCAGTCACCAACCCTAGACCATGGCCATCATTCCCCTCCCCCAGCAGACAGAGGACGACAACACAGCCCCTCACCTGCCCTGCCTGTCCGCTCCCCATCCGTGGCCCCACTGTCAGCTACACTTTGCCTTTTACATGTTGAGGTCATTAGCATTGACATTAGGTACTGTGAACCCTGAATTTGTCATCCTCTGCCCATCCCGAGGGTGATTCTGAAGCTCAAGAATCATGGGGTGTGCCTCGGGGTGACACTGAGCTGAGGAATGTGCTCAGCCCGCCCGGAATTGCCCCAGGACCCTCTCCACTAGCCATCAGCTTCCAGTGGTGTCCCAGCTAAGGGGCTTCCTGCCGCAATGCGCACTGCTCTAGACTGTTTTCCTAGGCTCCAGACTGTGTCCCTCGTGTGGCATCTGCCCTTATCAAATCGTCTAGACCTCCATCCCAGCCTTCCTGCTCTGCCCTCACTCTTGGTGCAGAGCTTGGCAGGGTCCAGAGCCCAAGGCGGGGTGTGCAGGGCCCTCAGTGCTTGTAAGGCAACCTGGCTGCTCCTGAGGCCACAGGTTGTCTCTCCCGAAGCTTTGGCCCCAGCCCTTGGCCCCTGTACTCCAGATGACAGGAGATGGGTCCCACCCGCCCTGTGCTCAGCACCTGCACTCACCTGGCTTGTCCTGTGTGCCTGCCTCCTCCGGAGCCCTGCCCTCCATCTCCCCTGCCCCCTTTCCTGGAGACCCTGTGCCTGGCTGGGGCCTGCACGACACTGATCTTTGTGCTGGTTTTTCTGTCTCTTTTCTCTCTTCTTAGAGATCCCAGCCTCATTTCGTTTCTAGTCTCCTTGTGGCTGGGTTTTCACAGCTGTCCAGGCACGTCTGGAAGTCGCACTAAGTGTATTCAACAGTGTCGGAAAGTCCTTTGGGTCAGATTTCCTGCTCATCCAGGGCTTCCTTCTCTACTGCATGGGGCTGCTTTTCGAGCCGCCGCGGCTGGGGAGAGGATCTGGGTAGCTGCCGCTCCCCCTGGTCCGCTGTGGTGGAGCCATTGCCTGTGGGGTATCTCTCTGGAGGACAGTTTGGAGGAGTTCCACAGAGGTGAGGCAGGGGTCAGCTCTTGCCCCATGGACCCTCAGAGGCTGCGAAAAGGTAGGCTTCACCCGGGCTGCCGCCAGCCACATCAGCCACATCAGCCACATCAAGAGCCGAGCTAGGAGCCACTCAGGCTCTGTGGGGGCCAGGCCAGTGGCTTGGGAGCTGGTTTGCTTATTCATTTCCATCATTTTCTTCACAGAAGAACAGGCTAGGGTCTCGCCGGGGGCCACTACCCCATGCAGGTGGCCCTCTCCAGACCTGCTTCACCTGTGCCCTCTGCTTCCATCTGCTCGCCACTGCCCCATCCCCGGCACCCCGCTGCCCCTTGGGCTGTCCTCTCAGCTGCCGCCTTCCTCGCCCGCTGAGCCCGTCACCACTTCCAGGGTCGGTGGCATCTCTCCATTGTTGGTACCCTCAACTCTCCTGCCCCATTCTTGCACTGACAGTATTGCTTCGGTTTCCAAATACATTGATGTTTTCATGGCAGTGAGGTTTCAGGAAGCCTGGGGGGCGACTCCTGGTGGGTGGTGCTGACCCACAGTGCCAAGGCCCTCCCAACTCACAACAGGCCACGCCCCCGGCAAGAGCCCAGAAGTCACACCGGCTGCTCCTCACTTCATAGGTGGTGCCACACCTCCAACAGAGCCTGGCTGCGGGCATGCAGATTGCTGGGACGGGAAACAGCACAAAAACACAGGCCTTCCACAATGGGAGGAGGGCCACTGAGACCAGGGCCCTCAAGGGGTCAGATGGGAAACGGGACAAGTAAAGAACTGTCCCGAGTGGCCTTTGGTGTGGATTTGATGCTGACCCTTTCTCTGGTGTGTCCAGACACTAAGAATTCATCTCAAACCAAATCAGGATGCTGAACTGATGAGAGCTGAGTTGAGAGCCCCAAGAGAGGCCGATGCCCGCCCTGGGCCTGCTCCCCTGGCGTCTCTCCAGACCCCCGAACTGGCTGGGGCTCGAGGGTGAACAGACACTTCCCTGTACACAACGCACTGCCCAGTTCACACAGCCTGGACGCAAAGGGTGCCCTTCTGGTAAGAACAGACACTACACTTGATCTTAGCCAAGAAGCGATAAAGGGCTTTTCTGAAAGGCAAGACCTGCCACCAGTCCGATGGTGCCACAGTCACAGGTGAGATGGCACACTGTTAAGAATACCAATTATCATTATAAGAATGATGGCATAGATTATAAGCAGTTTACTAACAGCAATTATAAAAACTGGGGAGAGAGTCATAGTGACAGTGGTGATTAGGATAAACGCTATAATAAATTTTAAAGTGGAGGGTTCTGTTGCAGTTCAATCGGCAAGAAGAGACTCCTCAGGGCCTGGTATACACGGGGCAGATATGTGCCGAGGCCAAGAGCAGTGAGAAGCCTGCCTCTCCGAGGAGACAGCTGGCTGGAGGGTTCATTCAAAGACAGTCTCCAAAACGAGGGCTCAGAGGCTATGGACTTAAAACCACTACTTGGGGGTGCAACAGTGGAAAACATTTACAGCAAATGCTTTAGCTGCTGCTGCCTGAGGCAGTGCATAATAGCCGGGGCAAACAAGAGACTAAACAAGAAGCTCAGAAGGAAGGCCTGGAGAATCAGAGGTCCACAAAAGCTCTGCAAAGCTCTGGCCCAGTCCTGGGAATCTGAAAGACCATGTGCGTGTGCCGGGCTGTGGAAATCCCAGAGAGAGACCTGAGAAAGCCCTGAGCTCTCACCTCTGGCTGACCTTGAGGTTCTGAGCAAGCAAGACGTGAAGGAGAAACAGCTGTCAACTGCCTGGCTGAGTGTTGATGAAAAACATGAATGACACATCTACAAAGCTCAAAAAGCTCCCAATGTAATCAATTCACAGTGATTCACACGAAGACACATTATAATCAAAGTGTCCAAAGCCAGGGACCAACAGAATTTTGAAAAGAAAGTGAAGAGACTCATCATATACCAGCTGGCTTTACATCAGAAGCTTTGGCAGCCAGAGGACACTGAAATGACACATTCAAAGTACAAAAGAATTCTATATTCAGCAAAACTAGCCTTCAAAGATGAAGGAGAAATGAAGACATTCCCAGATAAAAAATGAGGGAGTTCATCACTAGTGAGCCTTCCCTACAGGAAATACTAAAGGTAGGCCTCCAGGCTGACATGAAAGGACACTAGACAGTAACACAAATTCACATGAGGAAATAAAGAACTCCAATAAAGGTAACAACATCGATAAATATGAAAATGTGCACAAATGTACACATTTAATACAGCTTCATTCTAATGAGCAAAGTTTTTATATACAATTGAAATTAGTTTGGTAATATACTGTTTTCAGTTAGGATGCTAAATGCAATTCTAAGGGTAACCGCTTAAAAATAACTTTTAAAAAAAGTGTTAAAGAAACAACAAGGGAATTAAAATGGTATACCCAAAAATACCTAACGCTAACATATTTTGCTTTAATAGGAAAAAGTTTTTGTATACTACTGAAATTAATTTGGTACTAGACTGTTTTCAGTTAGGATGCTAACTGTAATTCTAAAGGCAACCACTTAAAAAAAACTTTAAAAAACAGAGTTAAAGAGGCTGGGCACGGTGGTTCATGCCTATAATCCCAGTACTTTGGGAGGCCAACACAGATGGATCACCTGAGGCCAGCAGTTTGAGACCAGCCTGGCCAACATGGCAAAATCCCATCTCTACTTAAAAATACAAAAATTAGTCAGGCGTGGTGGTGGGTGCCTGTAATCCCAGCTACTCGGGAGGCTGAGGCAGAATCACTTCAACCCAGGAGGTGGAGGCTGCAGTGAGCTGAGATTGCACCACTGCACTCCAGCCTGGGTGACACAGTGAGACTCCATCTCCAAAAAAAAAGAAAGAAAAAGAAAAAGAAAAATATGTTCACACAAAGACTTACAATGTACATAGCCAAAAAGTAGAAACCCACGTCTACAAACTACAACAAAATGTAGTATATCCAGACAATCAAATATTATTCAACCATGAAAAGGAATGAACTACGTGGATAACCTTTACAAAACTTTATGCTCAGTGAAAGACACCAGACACAAAAGGCCACACATTGTTATTCCATTTATAGGAAATGTCCAGCACAGGCAAATCCATAGAGACAGACAGCATCTCTATGACAGTGGTTGCCAGGAGTTGAGGCTAGAGAGGGATGGGGATTGGCTGCTAATCATGTGGGGTTTCTTCTGGGGGTGATAAAAATGTTCTGGACTCAGATGGTGATGAGAGGATGGTTACACAACTCTGTGAATATCCTAAAGACCATGAAATTGTACACTTTTAAAAGGGCAGATTTTATGTTATATGAATTTGAATTCAGTAGATCTGTTATTTAAAAAATAAATTAGAAGAGGTAGAAAACTGGCTTTACCTTCTTTCTTTGAGTTTTTTTGCTGTTTATTTTATTTTCTAGCCCGCTGAAATGTGGTATTAGTGCAGGGATAGCAAAAAAAAAAAAAAAAAAGGAATAGAACAGAACAGAGGAGAACCCAGAAACCCACACATAACGCATGGATACTTAATAATTAACAAGAGTGATGGTATTGTAGATCAATGAGAGAAAGAGTGATTTCCAGTCAATGGTGCTGCAACAAATGTGTATCCATATAGGATACAAGGAAACTAGACCCCCACACCTCACTCCATATGCAAAAATCAACTCTGGGAAGATGGCCCTCATTATAAGCATTTTCCCATTTTCCTTAACTTTTTTTTTTTTTTTTTTTAAAGACAGGGTTTGTCACCCAGGCTGGAGCACAGTGGCGTGATCTCAGCTCACTGCCACTTCCCTCTCATGGGTTCAAGTGACCCTCCCACCTCAGCCTCCCACGCAGCTGAGACTGCAGGTGCATGCCACCATGCCCAGCTAGTTTCTGTAATTTAGTAGAAACGCAGTTTTGCCATGTTGCCCAGGCTGATCTCAAACTCCTAGGCTCAAAGTGGTCCATCCTCCTCCGCTTCCCAAAGTGCTGGGATTACAGGCATGAGCCACCACGCCTGGCCCAAGTAACATTTTTAATTGTCAAATACTATTCCATTCAGGCATTTGCTATCATTTGCTTCACATTTTCTATTACTGGGTTACCTCAGTTTTCTAAGATGAGTGTTTTCATTTGATAATCCACTGAAAGCATTTTTTCAAGTGAAGGAAAACATGCATTAGAAAATGAAAAACAAAAGAAGGGGCCGGTCCCCAAATGCTCCTCCAGGGTTAGTGGAGCACAGAAAAGGGAGCCCGCGCATGGGGCAGCCGCAGGCAGAGGACCAGGAGGGTGGCCACATACCTAGACTCAGGACGGAGCTGCTGCCGCCCCAGCAGATCTGCTCGCCTTGCTGCTTCTTCACCGTCTCCACGGTTTTCGCAGAGGTGTCAGCAACTGCCACGACCACTTGCAGCAGCTGGCGGGGAGGGAGGGAGCAAGCCAGCGACCAGGCACTAAATGCCGCTAGTCTCACCTAGCGATGGCATCTCCTGCTTCCCACCCCCGTTCACAACGATCAGGTGGCACTCACCCAAAAGACAGTCAAGGGTAAGGGACAGAACTCCCAGCGGGAAAGTCACCAATCAGAGTTCTCAGACCTGAGTCCCCTCTTCCTGGCCCAGCGGGGATGCCACACTAGCATGTCACTCTAGCAACCCTCGATGCCTAGGGACATGCCAGCCAGCACTGCATGTCCTCCCAGCCCCAGCAACTGGCAAGGTGGGAAAATAAATGTCCCAAGAAAAATGGACAGGAGAGGCCTTTGGCCTCACCATCCCTGATCAAGGAGTCTCACAGGACCAGCCAGTTAGAGGTTGGAAGGCTTGGAGCCTCTCGGTTAAAAAAACAAAATAAACATCACGGAATCCTTGAGCCAAAGGCAGAGTTGCGCATATAACAACTGTAGTCATCATAACTAAAGCCGGCCTTTTAGGTTGGCCTCTGGGGATCTCACATGTGGAACAACAAAACAAGCAAACATTGATGAGCCTGCTTCCTCCCATCCTGTCTGAGCAGTCTCATGGGCAGACAGGCAGGCGCTGAGATGGGCAGGTCCACAGACCAGAAGTAGCACCTGCCCCAGCCCACTGAGGGGCCCAGAGCCCTGCCACACCACTGGCCCGCAGGGAGCCCAGGCCAGCTCAGCCCCTCCCAGCCCCTGGTCCCGCCCTGTGGTCCCTTGTCAGGGACTACTGAGGCCCCTGAGCCCAAGCAGGATATAAGCTCTGAGTGAACAGGGGAGGGGGGCAGTTAGAGGGGAGGGGAAGGGGACCCTTACTTGGCTGTAGGAAGTCAGATTCTGGTGTGTGGCCTGGATGATGGGGCCGCACGGGTGAAGGTCAGGGCCTGGGCGCTGGCAGCACTCGCCCAGCTCATCGTCATAGACTTGGAGGAAAGCCAAGATTAGCTGGTGGAAGTCGGAGGTGACCAGACGCAGCTTCTGGTCTAGGGTGCTCACGTCGGCTGCGCCCGCAGCAGCCCCTTGCTTGTGTTGTGCAAAGTACTGCAAAGCCAGAGGCAGAGTCCCTTGAGGCTGCCCTGCCTGCCAGCCAGGCTGCCACCAGCCCTCACCTCAGACACTGCACAATCAGGGCGAGGAAGAAAGCTTCCAGAAACAGGGAGACAGGGAAGCTGTACTGAGCAACTCAAGCCAGGGCAAGACCTTCTGGCTCCCAGCCTCAGCCCCGTCACTCACTCTCCCGTGGGCCCCAGTCTCCTCCACAATCAAACAGAGGCCAGGTCAAGGGCTGCCAGGAGGACCACGTGCGGCAAGGCACATGGCAATGTGCTCAGGCGTGGGCACCGCCCAATACGTGAGGCTGATCTCTTCCCCCAGCCACGGCACCCACCTCTCACCTCCCCATGGACTGAGCACCACAGTATTCTAGAGCATGTCAGGCCCAGTGCACAAGCAACCTCACTTAAGCCTCACGTGCCGAAGGAGGTCACAAAGCAGGGCCTTGCCTCCAAGCTCCCCCCTCCCAGGAGCTAGCACCCTTACCTCCGTTCTAAGCGCATGCAACTTGGCAGCACTCTCCTGCAGCTGCCTGGCCAGGTCCGCCAGCTTCTCCTCCTCCTCGGACTTGGCAGAGGCACTGGCCCTGCAGGAAGAGAAAGGGGACACCTGCAACTCACCGCTGCCAGGGTTGTCTGCAGTAACAGAACCAAGCGGCCTGGGGCTGGGATAGCAGGCCAGGGTGCTGCTGCCAAGGCCTCCAGGAGCACATACCACTGCCAGTCATCACTCTGCTTGTTGAGGAGGGACTGCATGTCCAGGGGCCATGGGTCGCACTCTGGATTCAGGAGCATCTGCAGGTGGGGGCTGGAGAAGAGCTCCCCCAGCAAGGCCTCGTTCTTCTCCCTGGTGTCCTCAAAGTGCTCCATCAGGCTGCAAAGGCAGCCCCCCGGGCCACACCGTCACAGGCCAGAGCACTGGCCCAGCAGGCCCTCAGCCCCACAGGGAAGGCCCCAGAGGCACATCGGGGCTAGGCACAGAGGCCAGGATCAGCCCCACTGCGTGGAATCCTCCCCCACCTGTCTGCCCTGGCTCCTCCATTTTTGTCCGCCTACCCACTCACCCATGGGGCACCCTAGGTGCTCACCCTCCTCTGTGCCTGGCCCGTCTGCTCTGAGTCCCACATCCCACCTTCACACTCACCCCCAGGGCCTTGGGCAGCAGCCAGCACCCTTGGGACACAGACGCCCCTTGCCCGTACGCTGCCTGGCCCGACTGGCCAGCCAGATTCCCAAGGGGGGTGTCCCACCTCAGCCAGCATCAGAGGGGGAGTGACACCCCAGCCCCTAAAAGCTCTAGAACTAGGACCAAGAGAAGCCCGTGAATACTGCCCACCTGGGCCATCCACACCTTTACCTCGAGCAACTGGAGCACCCAACGGTCAGGTTCCGGATGGCATCAAGCAGCTGGTCCATGAAGTGCAGCTGCTTCTGGGCGCAGGCACAGCCCTGGGCAAGGAAGGCCACAGGCATTCAGTGGCTCCACCTAAGCCAGGCCAATACCAGCTGTCCCCAGTGCCCCTGCCCCCACATGCCACCCCTGCCAGGAGCCAGTGGAAAGGAGGGGTCTGGCCTATCAACGACTCTGTGCCTGCCCGGCAATGTCTTGGACTAGTGAGTGCTCCCTGCCTTGGGCTGTAATGATGCTGGGACCACATGCCGGAATGGGCCAAGCACTGCAGAAACCTATGAGAGCGTGTGTCTGTCGTGCAGCTGACAGCATGGCTTGCTGGGTGGGCGGGCAGCACACAGCAGGGTCTGCTGTGACAGAACACAGCCCACAGGGAGACCTCCAGGACAAGGCCTGTTCTCCTCCAAGGATTGCCGTCCCCGCTGGGAACAGATGAAGCTGACAGGATGGGGCTGAGCGGTGCCCTGCTTTCCAGCCAGGGGACTGGCGTTCCAGTCCGGAAGGCCCAGGTTCCAGGAGCAGCAGCTCCTGAGGGGCTGACTTAGTGCTCCACTCGCCGGAAAGGTGAGTGAGATGCCCATGGGAGCCACCCGGCCAGGAGCTCAAGGCTTCCAGAAGCACAGCTTTCTCCTCCTTCCAGAAAAGGGAAGAGGTTCGCTGAGGACTTCCAGGACCTGAGAGGCTGTGCCTGCTCCAGAAAGCCCCCATCCAGACCCACTTCTTGAGCTCTGAACATCCTAACCACGTCAAAAGGGTCAACTCCATGGGGTATGAAATGCCACTGGGAGTGCCTCGGCCCTTTCACTGTGGCCTGTGCCTTCAGTGCCAACTTGTCATGCAAATGCTCCTTGGGGGGCTTGGTGAAGCTCCCAGAGCGGCTGGCTGAGCCAGTCCGTTCTGGTGCATTCCTCAGAACAGTGTATGGCAGGCGGGGGCAATGATAAGGTAAAATTGGCAACACTGTCAATAGCATAGAGACTGGGCATCACCATGACATCCAACTGAGGCAGATTCAGGAGCACAGGTGCGAGAAGCTCAGGGCACCCAGGACAGGGGTGATGGCACTGGGAGGGCTCACTGCCTGCATGGTGGTGCTGGCCACAATCATGTGCTCCAAGGTGATCTGGGGGCAGCGGGCTGCCACGTCCCCACAGCACTGACCTGGCCTATCTAGATGCTACACAGCAATGGAATCATACACAACCAAGCATGAGGCTGGCGAGGATCACGTGTGTCCTAGTGCAGATCAACAGTTGATTTCCTTTTTATTGCTAGTTAGTTTATACATTCACTAGTTGATGGACATTTGGGCTCTTGCCACTTTCGGGCCATTAAGAATAACACTTCTATGGACGCTCAGGTATAGGATTTTGTGTGCATGTGTATTTTCACTTCTCCTGGGTGGACAGCTGGGACTGGAACTGCTGGGCCACGGGGTAACTGTGTTGCCATCTTTCAGGAACTGACAGACTTTTCCACAGCAGCTGCACCACTTTATATTCCTATAGCAATGCAGGAGGATTCCAATCTCTCTTCATCCTGGTCAGCGCTGGGATTTTCCTTTTATTTCTTAAGCAACAGGGTCTTGCTCTGTTGCTCAGGCTGGAGTGCAATGGCACCATCATAGCTCACTGAAGCCTTGAACTCCTAGGCTCTCCGTGATCCTCCCGCCTCAGTTTCCCAAGTAGCTGGGACTACAGGGGTGTGCCATCACATCTAGCTAATTTTTTACTTTCTGTAGAGACGGGGTCTTACGATGTTGTCCGGGCTGGTCTTAAACTCCTGAGCTCAAGTGATCCTCCTGCCTTGGCCTCCCAAAGTGCTGGGATTACAGGCATGAGCCACCAGGCCCGGCCTCCTTTCCTTTTTTGATTCTAGCCATCCTAGTGTGTGTGTAGTGGCATCTCATGATGGTTTTGCTTTGTGTTGCTCTAATGGCCAGTGATGCTGGCCATGTTTGCATCTGCTTCTTGGCCATTTGTTCATCTTCTTTGGAGAAATGTCTATTCAGACACTTTGTCCAGTTTTGAACTGGGTTTTCTGTCTTTCTTATTGAGTTGTAAGGGTTGCTAAAAGATTTGGGATACAAGTCCCTCATCAGTCATGTGATTTACAACTATTTTCCCCCATTCTGTAGGTTTTTCTGTCTCTTCACTTTCTTCATGGTGTCCTTTGGTGGACCAAAGTGTTTCATTTTAATTAAGTCCAATTGATCTGCTTTTTCTTTTGTCACTTATGTTTTTAGTGTCAAATTGATGACTTCATAAAACATCATTATGAACACCTGGATTTGGGCGTATATGGAGTGTGCCTGTCTACTGCAACCCCTATGCTTAGGAGGCTCCCACTGGCCCCTCTCTGACTATTGCTAGTTGGCTCCTGAGTTTCTCGGACATGACCCAAGTCTTGGGTGACTGCTGCTCTCTGTGTTTCCGCCTGTGTTACAGCCGGGATGTCATCGTTCTAGGCACTTTCAGGGCATAAGATAAGGAAATACATACATGTTCCTTAAGGTAAGAATATATTAAGAGGATGGGTACAGTGGCTCACGCCTGTCATCCCAGCACTTTGGGAGGCTAAAGTGGGAGGATCACCTGAGCCCAGGAGTTCGAGACCAGCTTGGGCAACATGGCAAGACCCTGTCTCTACAAAAATTTTAAAAATTAGCGGAATGTGGTGGTGTATGCCTGTGACCCCAGCTACTCAGAGGGCTGAAGTGGGAGGATCGCTTGAAGCCCAGGGGCTCATGCTGATATTCCCAATTAAAACTCAGGACTACAAGGGTTGACCCTACCTAATGATCTTAAATCTGTATCTCCTTTCTCCCTCCTTCAACTCCCAGGTCTCAATAATGCCAACAGAATTCTCCAATTCCTTTGTTTATCCATAACAAGGAATGCAATCCTGCTACGTGCTGCTGCAACATGGACAAACCTTGAAAACTTTGTGCTCAGTGAGGAAGCCAGGCACCAAAGGCCACATATTCCAGCACTCCACTCCAATGACATACAGACAGATAGTAACTCAGTGGCTGCCACAGCCTGTGGGGAATGGGGAGTGGCTACTCAGTGGTTCAGGGTCTTTTCGGGGTGATGAAAATGTGGAACTGGATACAGGTGGTGGTCATACAACATTGTGAATGTACTAAAGACCACTAAATTGTATGCTATAACACAGCTTAAAAATGGAGGACGAAGTTTCAGTTTGGGAAGATGAACAAGTTCTGCGGCTGGATGGTGGTGATGGCTGCACAGCACCGTGAATGTGCTTCTGCCCCTGGACCGCACACTTAAAAATAGTGAACGTGGTACAATTGAGGTGATGTGTATTTTACCATAATTTTTTAAATTAAAAAAAAAAAAAAAAAAAAGGAAGCGAGCTCCCACAGGGCCTGTTAGGAAATTGTTTTTCATGGCTGACATGGTAGATTTTATGTAAAGTACATTTTGCCACAATGCCAATGTGGAAATATAAAGCAAGCGCAGCGCTCCCGTGGCTGGGCAGAAAGCACGGGGCAGGTGCTGGCACGCTCTGAGAAGCGAATGGCAGCACGTGGGTCAGGGAGGAACACCAGGATTCTGAGTTCTCCTGCAGAGTGGCAGGGGGCTGGCCGTGCCACCACCGTCACGGAAGTGGGTGGTTTATGTCTGGAGAACAGAAAAAGGGAGCCCCAGGGAACTAGAAAGTATTGAAGAGACGGTGGAGAGGAAACAGCTCAAGAAAGTGACCCCACAAATCTATAATGCCTGGCCTCAGGCCCACCTGTGCATGAGTGGCTCTGATCTTGATGAGCCCAGCAAAGACTCCCAGGTTGACCACTGGGTGGCGCACACACAGGGGGGACCCGAAGAGCCATGCAAAGGCTGCAGAAACAAGAGCTGATGCTGGAAGGAACCGCAGGCAAGAGGCGGGAGGCAGCTGAACTTGCTGCTTAAACCTAAGCAGGTCAAGTGCCTGCTAAAGCACAAATATTTATACAAATATAAATTGTGTGGAGAATACATTCTCCCAGAGCCAAAGTAATAGGTAAAATGTCCAGAGAACTACTTGGCACGTGAAGAACCACAGACTCTCAACCACAGGAGAGAAGACTCACTGGATATGGACTTTGGGTGACAATGTGTCCATGCTGGTTCATGAACTGTGACAAAGGAGCTACCGTGTGCAGGGTGTCCATGGCGGGAGAGGCTGTGTATGTGTGGGGCAGAGGGCCTGTGGGGACTCTCTGTGCTTTCTGCTTAATTTTGCTGTGAACCTAAAACTACCCTAAAATATTAAGTCTATTAATTAAAAAAAAAAAGGAAAAAAAAACTTCACTGGAGAAGTGATCCAATTAATAAGTGGGCAAAGGACATGAACATGGAAATGTTTCCAAAGTGTATACAGAAATGGCCAACAAGCTCACAAAAAGACACTCCATATCATTGGTCATGGGGAAATGCAAATCAAAACCATAATGAGATACCACCCCACACCGAGCAGGGTGGCTAGAATCAACAAGACGGATGCCAGCGAGTGCCTGTGAGGATGAGGAGAAACTGGAGCTCTCCCGCACTGCTGCTGGAAAAGGAAGATGGTGCCGCCACACTGGAAAACAGTTTGGTGGCTCCTCAAAAAGTTAAGCACAGAGTGATCCTGTGACCCAGCAATTCCACTCCTAGCTATATACCCAAGAGGACTGAAAACACGTGTTCAACCAGCCAATGTGCATCTCACATGTATTCATTGACATCTTATGCAGTGTGCCACTGCATAAGTGACCACCTTGGGCACGTGTTCTCAGGACCTCCTGGGGCTATGTCATAGGCCATTGGTCACATGAATAAATCTCTTCAGATATTAAAAAAAAGAAAACCTGTTCAGTCAAAAAACACATGCAAGAATGTTCATAGTAGCATTACTCATAATCATCGAGTGAAAACAATTATTTCAAAATTTAGAAACGATAAGGTGGATGCTGGGGTTTCTTTGACCTACCGCGGGGTAGATGAGGGACCTCGGGAGAAACTCTCAGGCCACAAGGGCTTGGGAGCCAGGCGCCGGGATGAATGAAGAATGAAGTCATCAACCAAGGACAGGACACTCTCCATCCCACTGGTCATCAGAAGCCAGAGATCTGCCCCTACCCGCACAGCTGCCCTCTCCCCTGTGCCCCAAGGACAACCAGGGTCTACCCAAGACAATTCCAGCAGTTCTGGCCCCAGGGATGACTAGAGAAGCAGCCTGCCTGGGCACTCAGCCAGCCCCAGGGCCTGAGGAACTTCACAGGCACTAGGGGAGGAAAATCCTCCCACGTCAGCCGGCACCACGAGGTTCCCTGCCCAGGGCAGAAAGTGTGCGTGTCGTCTGCAGAGCAGACAGGGGCCCCCTTACCTTGAGGAGTTCCTGGTCATCTGGCGCACACAGCATCAGCTCATGGCCCAGCTTCGTCATTTCTGTTGAAACACAAAGAGCCCATCACGGCAGGCACCTGCCCAGACAGCAGCGAACAGCAGACACCCGGGAAGCCCAGTACCTACAGGCCAGACTCAGTACAGGAGACCAGTGTGGGCCAGGAGGCAGGTGGAAGGCACCCAGGTGCTGGCGCTGTCTCTTGCTGAGTGGCCCCACCCCTCTCTGGGCATCAGCTTCCTTGTCTGAAAATCAGGAGTTGTACCCAATGCTCTCCTAGGTATGGGGTCACTCACTCTGGCTTTGAGCAGAAGCCAGCAGCTACCTGAGGAGTGGACAGGGGTCAGGGAACCTCTATAGTACACTGTGTGCCACCCTCTCCAAGGCCTCACAAGGCCAAAGCAAATGGAATCACTGCTCCCATCTGGCCATGTCCTAAAGGACCTTCGTGCCATCATCTGCTATCACACTGCCGGCAGCCCTGTGGGTGGCAGGCCTTGTTGCATTTCATGCATGGGGAATCTGGTGCCATGCACACTGCAGATCGTCCAGCCACATCTGCCAGGATGCCCAGGGCATTTTCTGAGTAACTTGGAGCCATAAAGCCTGGGGCTGATGCCAGACCTGTCCCTCCACCTAGCCCTAGAGGGTCTGTTGCAGGAAGTAAGCAGAGTCTCTGTGGGGAAGCACTCAGTAACCCCAGGACCACCACACAAATGCCAACTGCACGCCTAGGCAAGCCTGTTCCACCACCGCCCTTAACCCCACATCCTCAAGTCCTCCCTGACCCCTCTCTTCCTCTCAGCGAGTCCAGCCAACCCTATAAATCCAGGATCTGGCCAGCGCTGCCTCCTGCATTCCCCTCCAAACTTTCACCTGGACCACTCGCTGCAAGAGCCCCGCGCCGTTCTCCCTGCCTCTTCCCCGGGCGCCCTATTCCCAGCACAGTGGGTCAGGGGTCTCGTTACAGCCAACAGCAGAACTCGGCCTTCCTTGACCCACACGGCCTGGCCTGATTTGGCCCGTCCCCTCCCAACCTCACTCCTTGCCCTCCCCTGCACTCCAGCCACACCAGCCTCCTTGTTGTGCCTCCAAGCTGCCAGGCACAGCCCACCTGGGGCCCTGTGCACATGCTCTTCCTCTCCACACATGCCGCGCTGGCTTCCGCCCCTCCTGCTGTCTTATGTCAACAGCACCACCCTTCCCCCAAGCCCTGCAGGATCCCTCAGCCCTCAGCTGGCTGTTCCCAGTGCTTCTCGCTGGCGGATGCGTGGACAATTCTCCTACCCTCTCGCGCCTGTCTCTCCCTGCTAGCATGCAAGCGCCACGAGGGCAGTGGAACTCACTGCTGTACCCCAGGACCAGAAATAGTACCTCGCATGTGGTGGGTGCTCCTTGACCATTTGTCGGATGAATTCCTGAACTATCCTCACGCCCTACTGGTCCTGGCCTCTCCCACCTGCACTCTGACAAGTCTGACATTCAGTGTATTCCCATGAGGTAGGCAAGACTGGGTTTCATCCCCACTTGACAGGAGAGAAAACAGGCTGGGAGTGGCGGTGTCAGGGCTAAGGCTGGGCTAGGTCGCACATGTGTTGGTGTGGGTCAGAGAATCTGGACTGTACCAGTCATGGCAGCTCCGGGGAGAAGGGCAGTGCCTCTGTGTGGCCCAGGTCTGCCCACTGGCTGCTCTAAAACACCTCATTCTTCTGGCCCACCTCAGCACAGGGAGAACTGGCCCCAGATAACTCATGTGGCAATGCCAGCTGGGGCAGCAATCAGGACTCCAGGGTCCAGTTTATCTACCCTGGAGTGGCCAGAATAGACATAGGCCCATGAAAAATTTGATCTTTGACATTCCACCAACTTCTAGAGAGATCACCATGAAGGTGAAAAGTTAGCCACCAACTTGGGGACTACAATTTTGCCCGCCTTTATCTAACGTTCATTACCAGGTTAAGTACAGTTTCTACCAAGAAATGATGGAAAAGAGGTTATAAGGCAAGCCCCGCTGGAAAGCAACAGGCGCCCCTAGAAATGCCACCTGTAGACAGCGTGTCACACACCACTGACACAGGAAGACGGAACCACTGCTGGCATCGGCAAGAATCTCTGTCTCTGGCCACCAGCGCTGCAGGGACTGATGTGCTCTAGGTCCCTGCGAAAGGAGTTCTCCCACCTGCCATGCCTAGGAAAGGGTGGGGTTCAAGAAGGCTCTAGCAACATCCACACCACGTGCACCACCTAAAACAAAACGTCGGTCCAATGGAACATGCACCGTAACTCAATAAGGAGGCTGTGAACAAGCTCAGAATAGACCAAGATTCCACCTACCTTGGATCTTCACCTCTGTTGGGACCCCTTTCAGTGAGCTGAACCTGTCCTGCAGTGAGGGCCAGACCCTGCAGGGAAATAGCAGAGCTGGTCAGGCCGGAGACAGCCAGAAAATCCCCCTGGGCCTTCTGCACGCGCTGGAGAAAGTGAATTCCTGTGTATGTGCTCAATGCCACGGAACGGCTCACTTTAAAATGGTTACTTGTGTGTCACATGGATTTCATTTCCATGAATTATTAGGGAAGGAATATTCCAGGAAGTTTACCTAGGAAATGTGATTCTGGATACTGAAATGAAAATTCTTCTCAAGACCAAAAAAAAAAAAGATAGCTGCAGCAGAGGCAGAGAGGGAAGCCGCCAGCACTCGGGGCTCTTTCTCGAAATGGCGGCGCGGGTGGCTTTTGAGGGCTGGCCCCGGGCTCCTGGCACCCTCCCCGGCCTCCCTTGGGTCAGCATCAACTGCTCCAGGGTGGAGCACCCGGCCCTCTGCAGAAAAGGCTTGTGAGGCCTGCTTTCAGCCATGTGCGGGCTCCTGCTGCGACAGTCTGTGGTCACAATTGAGGCTCATCACCTTGGGCACAGTGAAGGCCTGGCCTTGACTGCAGCACACAGGGGCCGCTCAGAAGCATGGCACCTTAAAAGCCATCTGGTGGGCAAAACCAGATCCACATGCACAGCGCATGGAAGGTAGGAAGTCCCAGAACACCCAGACACGCGCCGCAGGTGACACACAGTTCAGCCCTCCTCTGGGTGTCCTCCTTCAGGGGAGCACAGCCCAAGCACTGCAACCCCAGCCCCAAGCCCCAAGCCTCAAGCCCAGTATGACACTGAGGCCCAGAAACATCCCTCCGGCCACTGGGGCCACAGGCTCTTACCAGGGAGCCCCAGGCGCCTGCCACCACAGCAGCCTTTCATAACGAAGGAGGCGCTTTCCACCAGGCTGCCGGAGTCTGGCTACACCTCACCATTGCCATCACTCTAGGAGCCTACTGACTTGTGTGGTGGGAAAGGGCTGGTGGCTGTTCCCTGGAGAGGCCACACTTGCCCCAGGACTGCAACAGAGATCGAGCTGGGCTTGGCTGCCTCCACAGCACCACTCGCCTCTGTGACTTATTAAGATAACCGCGGGTTCTGTGCAAGTGGGGTTGGGGAAGGAAGGTGGAGGCCAGCAGGCTGGGCTCTGACAGCGGGGTTGCCAGAAACGTCTCTGAGCACAAGACTCAAAGAAGAGGGCACTCACCCAGCACTGTGCAAGGCCAGGCACAGTAAACCTTGAACACACTCAAAATCCACACTGCAGAAGCCCAAGTAGCCAGACTCAGTAAAGGCTATCATTCAAGTCACCGCACCATCACAGCAGGGGGCAGAGCAGGAACAGAAAGTGCTGGAGGCCTCGGAAGCCCCAAGGAAACCCACAGGGCCTTGACCTCCACAATCCACGGGGCTCCATGAGCTCTGCCCCAACCCACACCAAGGACCAACACTAGGTGCAGCTTCCAGGTTCTACTGAAAGGATATGAAAAGGCGGCCCTAAATGGGACTGACAGGGTACAGTCACATACAAAGAAAGGCAATGGGAAATTCACAGGAAAACTCCCATCCATCCGCTTCTCTTGTAGGACTCTCAAAACACCTAAGGAATTCTTGCCAGCACGAAATCAGACAACGTCATTGTATGCTCCCTGGCGGCTTTTTCAAAGGATTCGGTTTCTGGTACTTACAGAAGTACTACAGGTTGACTACCCCTAATCTGAAAATCTGAAATGCTCCAAAATCCTAAACTTTTTGATCGCTGATATGATGCTAAAGGAGATGCTCATTGGAGCATTTGAGATTTCCGATTTTCAGATTAGGGACGCTCAACCAGTATAATGCAAATATTCCAAAATCCGAAGAAATCGAAATCTGAAATACTTGTGACCCCCAGACATTTTGGATATGGGACATTCAACCTGTAGAAGCACCTGAGGGGCATGGCTTTGGCCTCCTACCCGTCCCTCTCTGGCCAGCAGGTGACCCCAGTTTCCCGAGTGCCCCCAGCTTCCACCCGAGTCAGGCAAATTTGCGCCCCCTCCCACAAAAGCCTCCTCCTGGGAGCTCGCTCAAGACCTTCACACTCCACCCAGCCATCTCCAGTCCTGCCTCACCTCCCAGCCTCCCAGGTTCCCAGGCCAGGGGCTGGTCCCTCCAGGGCCAGCAGTGGCTGCCAGACAAGCCGTCTGCCACTCAGAGGTCCAGGCTAGCAGGTGGAGCCCTCTGGGAAGATAGCTACTCACAGTAACCACAAACCCCATCTTCCCCAGGTGGGGCTGGGTGGCGCCCACGCACACCCCAGGTGGGAAGAGGAAGAAACCGATGCATTACCGGGTACACATCCACTCTAGGATCTCCAAGCGGTACTTTGAGGGGCTGCACAGCAGTTCCTGAATTGTCTTTGGCTCTGTGATATACAGACCCTCAAGGAAGGGGCAGTTTAGGTCCTAAGCAAGGAAAAGGAAAGCAACATTCACTGAAGGTCCCAGTGTACATCATTTTATTTTATTTATTTATTTACTTTTTTGAGACGGAGTCTCACTCTGTCACCCAGGCTGGATGGAGTGCAGTGGCATGATCTCGGCTCACTGCAGCCTCCACCTTCTGGGTTCCAGTGATTCTCCTGCCTCAGCCCCCAGAGTAGCTGGGGGATTACAAGCACGTGCCACTATGCCTGGACAATTTTTGTATTTTTAATAGAGACGGGGTTTCACCATGTTGGCCAGGCTGGTGTCAAACTCCTGACCTCAGGTAATCTGCCCACTTCAGCCTCCCAAAGTGGTGGGATTACAGGCGCGGGCCACCGCGCCCAGCCCTCAGTGTACATCTGCAAGCTCCCATGACCCTTTCCTTTACCCGTGTCCTGCCATCTTGCCAAGAGTTCAAGTTCCCCCATTCTTAACCCCACATCTCCCGCAGCATGCAGACCCCACCTCTTTCAAGTACTCCCACTCTGGGCTCTTGTGGCAGCAGGACCTAGGAGCAACGCCTGAGGCTAAGACTTAAGAGAGAGTCCCAGGTTTCGGGACTGAGGGAGAGGGGAGAGGAAGAGGGGCCACTGAGCCAGTCGTGGACAGGATGGGGGAGTGGCTGGGGGGAGGAGCGAGCGGGCCGAGGGGACCTGGGACAGCTCCCTGACCTCGTGGGCCAGTTTTCCTCACTGCTGCAGTGAGGGCTCTGTCCTGTGGGGCTGTAGAGGGCTTCTGGAAGCTATCACCCCCGGCATCTGACACCAAGCCCTAGTCTCACTGACTTGACAGAGTGGCACGAGGCTCTGCCCATCTATCCCCCAAGACTCCGCAAGATCCCTAAGGCCAGGCCTGTGTCCTCTGTGTCTGCACTTGCTCCGAGCGCCCAGCCCGGGTACTGCAGTTCCACAGGCGGTGCTGGCCCCAACTACCAGGCACAGGCCGTGGAGACAGCAAGAGCGAAGGCCTGGGGCACCCCAAAGAGCAAAGATGAATCATCCACAAGCACCCCCTGTTGCGGGGGAACAGGGCGCAGCCGTAACTGGCGACGGTGGCCGCGTGGCGCAGCGGACTTCCGCAGCAAGCCCGCCCGGGCCTTGGGCAGGGCCCTCCCCGGTCCCCTGCCCTGGAGTGGCTTTCTGGGCCAGCGGCACCTTCAACTTCCCGAACACCTCCACAGCCGCCCTGAACACGCTGCTGTCGCCCTCGTCCTCTGAGTAGTCGTCGCCGCCGCGGCCGAAGCCAGCGTCCTGCCCCGCCATGTTTCGCGCTCCGAGCCGCGCCCCGCCTACGCCCTGGTCTCACTGGCCGGCACGACCGCCAATCAAGTTCCAGTGTTCTTCCCGCCCACCCGCCTGCGCCCACCCGCTACCCGACCGACACTTCCCATTGGGCGGCAGCTCCGCCGGCGCGGGCTCCGGGCTTCCACCCTCGCCCCGGCACCACCCAGGGGCAGGACCACAGGGAAGCGGGCGGGGCGGACACCGGGAAGCGGGCAGAGCGGACACTGGGAAGGGGGCGGAGCGGACACCGGGAAGGGGGCGGGGCGAACGGGCCAAGCTGGCTCTCAGTCGCTGGCCTTGCTGGCGTCGCCCCTGCTGCCGGCCGGGAGTGATGACGCGTCGAAGCGAGGCTCTTCCAGGAGGGGGCGCTCCTGCCTTTATCGGGTTCTCCTGGGCCACCACTAAGGGGGACTCTGGTTCCCAGGAGGACCAAGGGGAGCCTTGGGTGCAGAATGGAACTGGGACTGAAGTGTTCCTCTCCCAGCACGGGGCTCTGTCACCATGCTCACGCTATAGTTAGAGGGAAATTTCTTGTCACTCACCAGCTATGGGCCTTTCAACCACTTACCTAACCTCTCTGTGCCTCTTTGCCCTCACCTAATGGAGCTAATGAGAGCACTTTCCCCAATGGGTTGCTAATGAGGATGGCAGGCGGTAATAATTCCTATGGAATCCCTGGGAAAGTGCCCGGCGCATGCAAAGCACTATTACAATATATGCTGGGCCCCGCTTCCCTCACGGCTCCTGGGGTTATCTGTGGCTCCTTCCTATCCTGTCTACTTAACAAATTTTTCTACATCCCTCAGGCCCCTCAGACTCAATGTGTCTGCAATGAAATATGTGAGTCCCTCCTCCCCCAAACCTGCAAAGCCCCCAGCTCACTGAATGCCCCTTACCCTGGGACCTGCTGATTGGACAAGGCAGGAAGGAGTTGGAGGGTGGCTTGTGCCCAGTAGCCAGGAGACAGCAGCAGGCAGCTGCTGCCCGTCTGTCCCTCCTCCGTGCCCTGCCCTGCCATCTCCTGGAGGGTGGGATCAGGGGGCAAGTCTAGAGTCAGGGAGACCCAGGGACCTGCTGGGAGCCAACTGCAGTCATCCAAGTGACAGGAGGGGACTTCGCTCTGTCCTGGGAGGAGGGAGCAGGCAGAAGTCCGGGAGGTCACAGGAAGGGACCTCAGCCTGGGAGGCCCCGACACAGGCCCAGCGAAGTGCCTCTAGGTCGCTCTCTGCCCTTCCACGTGGCTGCTGCCTCAGGCCCTTCTGGAAGCTGAGGGCTGTCAGGGCCTTTGGGATATTTTTTTTTAAGCTTTTTTTTTTTCCCCTCTTTTTTGTTTTTGTTTTTCTTTCTTTCTTTTTAGAAAATTTCATTTCAATCACAGCCCCAGCTCAGACATTCAAATTCTTGTGGGTTTTTCTGTGGATCTTTCCTAGGACTGGGGAATTTGGAGAAAGAAACCACGGCAGTGTGGCAGCCTCCCCCAACCCTCCCCATATCCTCTGCTCCTGAGGACCGGAAAGAAACCAGCTTCTGTGTACTCTGGAAGAAAATCTCCCTCCTCCACCCAGCTCCATGGAACCAGCGTGCTAAACAGGCCTCCCCAACCTCAGCAGTTCAGTCTGCAGGACCCCAAGGAACTGGCAGGGCCTTGAGAGGCGAAGACCATCTTGAGAGGTTATGGAGACCATCCCCCTGCATGGAGAGCCTGTTGGCCAGCCCTCAGTCCATGGAGATGGTCACTGAAGACTCAGCAGCAGGCTGCAGCTTCCCTGCCCACTCCACCCCACCACCAACCACCCGCCGCCCGCCACCGGAATCATAGCACCTCCCAGGCATCTTCCTCTGGAAAAGCTGGAGGCTGGGGAGGGAACAGAGAGGCTGCTGGGCCTCTCAGGAATGGGGAAAGAAGGGGCCCAGAGGTAGAAGCTTCTAGAAATGTAGACTCAAGCTCAATGCAAGAAAGCACTCCTCCCAGAAAGCACTGTCTGAACACCAGGTGGCTGCCAGGAGAGGGAGGGAGCTCCCGGTCCTAGGAGGTCTCCAAGCCCAGGGAGGTTGGTGGGCGGGTATGTGGAGGGTTGAGTCCTACCATGGGGGAGGGAGGGGACACATCTCTAAGGGGCATTCCAGCCCACAGACCCCGGGTTCTGTGAGGGAGGCCTGGGTGGGTCAGGGGGCAAAAATGTGGCTGAAGGACCCGTTGACCTGGAGGAAGGATGTTGGGGGAAAGCTGTGGATGTGGCAGGGAAGCTGGGGAGTCCTGGTCATGGAGGAAAGTTGGCCATGCGTCCCAGCAGGGCCTCAGCTGTGTCAGTGCTTGGAAAACAGCTTGGAAAATGAGACCGGTTGACAGGCACTGGCCCCGCTGTGCCAGAGATGGGCTGGCAGATGCTGGTGGCATTTGAGGCCTCTCAGTTTGTGTGGTGGGCCCAGAGATGTATGGCCAAGCAGTTGAGCTCACCAAGCGGGCAGCCTCCCTGACCTGTGGAGGGTATTGAAAAGTCCTCAGAGCATCTGGGCCCTGCTCTTCATATGACCTTTAGGGCAGACCCCAGGGTGCAGCGGGAATCAACCAGGTCCCCCAATCCATCCCCCGAAGACACCACGAATCAAAGGAAGCCAAAGTCCAAGGACTTCCCTCTCTGCAGAGGCAGGTCAGCTTCTAGCAGGGGCCGGAGTTAGACCTGAGGGGGAGCCACCCCACCTGGGGGCGCCTAGGTCCTGGAATGCTGTCGGAGCTAAAGCCCTAGAAGGCCTTGCTCCACGGGGCCACTTCGACTCCTGGCCCTGAACCAGGGAACCTGGGGAGGAGCCTTTGAGGGACTGAAGTGTCCTCCATCACCTAAGGAACTAAAGTTCCTTAGTAAGGGTGGAGAGTACCAAAGGCAAGCTGTTGAAGACAAGGCAAGTGTGTGTGTGTGTGTGTGTGTGTGTGTGTGTGTGTGTGTGCATGTGAGATGTTTTGGGGGAGAGTTCAGGTCTAAGATGAGAAACTGATCACACCCATGGGAGAAGTAAGTGGCGAGCCCTGGCATTGGGTTTGAGGGAGAAATGTGACAGAGTAATGAGGTCAGGCTCAGGACGGTCTGAGTGTGAGGCTCTCCGCAGGCAAGGCAAAGCCAGGGGGCTGCCTCTACCTCCCCTCCTCTCCCTCCCCCTTCTGTTCTCCTCTCCTTCTTCCTTCTCCTCATCTCTTCCCTCTCTTCCTGGGACCTCTCTGCTGCTAAGCTGCCAGGCTGAGCTGTTGGTCACCCATCCACCCCGCATCCTGGCATGCAGGCTCAGTACCCAGGCCTTGCAGGCAGCCCACGCCATCTGCGCCAACCAGGAGCCCACCCGAAACCCAGCCCTATCCTTGCAGATGGGGGAAGAGGTGGAGAACATGAAAGCAGGAGTGGGGGTCTTGCAAATGAGACAAAGAAGTGGCTGTAAGCTTGGGGGAGTCCCGCGGCTTGTGGCCCTAGCTCTGCAGGGACCACACTGTCAACCTGGGAGCTGCCTGAAGACTCGACTCTAGAACGTTCTCCTCCTAGGCCTCTGTGTTCATATTTGGAGTCTACTGGCATATGAGAATGGAGAGGCTACCTTGGGACTTTGGCTTCCTCTTCCTGTCACTTCTAGTCCCTATGCTGGGCCTCCTGCTTTAGAGCCCCACCTTCACCTCCTGCAGTTGAGGGGCCTCATCTGCCCCGTCCTGCCCCCAGGCCACTAGCTCCTCCAACAGCACATCCGGGAGCCAGCGCAGTCAGCATGGTACCACCATCGCCATCACCATCGCCTCCTGTGGGCCTAGAGGTGCTACCATCACCTGCCCCGCCCTGTCCCCCAGGCCACAGGCTCCTGCAAGAGGGCAGGGCCTGCGACCCAGGGCGACTCTTGCTCTGAGGCCAGAGGCAGTTGTAGGGGGTGTGGACAGAGTCTGGCTGGCAGGGAGGCAGTGACCCAGCGGTCCATCTTTGTCCTCCTGACCCGGGCCCCAAAAATGGGAGGGATGGTCTGGGGCCCTGGGGACCTTTGGGTTTCCCGCTTCTGCCCTCGCACTGCCTGTTTGCAGTGGATGCACTGGGCGAGGCGGGGACGGGGGTGGGGGCGCGGGGGTGGGCGAGCGGCTGCGCGCGCACGCGGCTCGCGGGAGGTGGCAGGCGGGGGCGCGCGCAGCTGCACGTGCGAGGGGCGCAGCCGCCCAGGCGGCGGCAAAGGAAACGGCGGCGGGCGGGATCGCCCCCTCCGCGGGGAGACGCTCGGGTCTAGACGGCTTGGCAAGGCCGGCGGGGCTGAGTCACATGCGTCTGGAGCGGGAGGCGAGGGCGCCAGGACAGGAACACGAACGTGCCCGCTCGGAGGGCCGGCCGGGGGAGGGGGCGCCCGCCTCGCCTTCTTGTCTTGCCCGAGCTCCCCGACCGGGTCTGAGCTCCAGCTTCTGCCCAACCTCGGTTCCCTGCCAAGATCCTCGAAGCCCACCCGAGGGGGCGGGGCAGGGCCGCTTTCACAGGGAGTCCAGCGAAGCCACGATATGGGCGGGAATGAACTCGAATTTCACACGGGCAAGGAGGGTGGGAAACTACTCTGCCCCCATCCCGACCACGGCCCTGCTCCCTATGGGCCGGCCCCTGCTGCGTGCCACCCTCTGCAGTCCCCCTCCACTGGCACCCTCTACACCATCCGCAGCCAACCTTGTCCCATTTGGGGTCCTGTGTTCCCCTTCCCTGCTTTTTTTCTCCACCCCCACCCCCTAGCAGGCTCTCTAGCGCAGGATCGCCAGGTCTCAAGCATTTAGTGCTCACCAAAGCATCTGCAAGAAAAGTCATTTAATTGGGACCAGATCCTCTGAGGTTTCAGTGGCATTAAAATAAGATGGGTTTCCTCCAGGGAAGAGTAGCGGGCAACAGGAAGAGGGCATGGAAAGTGGGACTTTTTTCTTCTCCAAGCTTTAAGGGGGAAAGGCCTCCTATTGTTACTGACATGTAAGGTAGCTGCGGGAGCATGTCCCCAGAGAACCCCACCCATGTGCCACACACTGCTGTTGTTTTTATTCAGACAACATGTGGAA